CTGCCACAGTCACTCCTCATCCTGCTCGCTCTACACCTGCTGTTCATTCAGCTTATGACGCTCCTGAACCAGCCGGACCTCCATGGCACGCTTGCCTCCTCACCGGCGAGCAGTGCCGCCTCTGGTGGTCACGCTCACAGCTGAGGCATGCCATGGGTTCTTGCAGGCGGTTGAGCTGAGAGCCCTTGTGGGGAATCCCTGGGAGCTCCTGCCCTCCTTTGTTGCCACCGTCTCGAATGGGGATCCAACGGGTGGGCGGGCAGGCAGGGGCAGCATAAGGGTGCGCTGTACAGGTTCGGGGCCTTTTGGAAGGATGGGACAGCCCCTTCCTCACTCTGCCGTCTCCTGCTCATCTGCTGGCAGGTTTGGCACAGGGTTCCAGGCAGTAATGTTGGTTTGGCACGGGCTTCCAGGCAGTTGTGTGCCCGGTGCCCTTTCTCCCTGCCGCACCAGCACACAAGCTTCTTGTGCAGTGATGTCCTCGCCGGAGAATCGTCTCCGTATCACTGGTGCCTGTGAGTTTGCCAAGCTCGAGTGGGCTGCTCGAAAGAGGTTGAGGAGAAGAGTCCTCTAACTTCTGGAGCCAATATAATGCTTGGCACACCAAGATATCATGGCAGTAGCAAGAAACAAAGAGGCATATTTAAAGAACGAACAACACCCTTTTATTTGTCCCTTAAAAGCAGTAACACAGACACCAAACAACCATCAAGAAGTGAAACACAGGGAGGTCTCATGGCACACAGTAGGTCGTATACACGGTGAGTAACCAGACATTACAAAGAGACAAGTGGATCAGGCAAGGGCCGAGTACAAACACAGGTAAACACAGGCACATGTGATGATTGGGAACAAAACAAGTATTCACAATAACACAAACAAGGGACTGTTTATATTCTCTCAGCATGCTCCAGTGCTCCAGTAATCTTGCAGATGTGTGGTGGTGGCAGGTCCATCAATTGTGGAAAAATTAATGCTTCATATATATATATATATATATATATATATATATATATATATATATTATATTCATAGGCGTTCATGTTTGTCATATTTTACAAATGTGTGGGACGAGTCCTTCTCTTCATTAGCGTATGTATTTTATTTAATTTATTTGGCTCTCCAAACTTGACGAATCTGCTTCCATCTTTTGCAAAAATAAGTGAATATGCACGCTGCGCGAACACGCATGTCATCACTAGCATAACCACTTAAACCATAACACGGGTACTCGTAAGAGAAAAGTAAAGAGGTGCTGGTGTTGTGTACTGGTGAGTACTGCTGAGTACTGGCCCAATTCACGCACCGATTATAATCTTACGCGGTCTAAAGCGTCGTTATGCGGCATATGACTGTAATTGTTGCCAGAGGCAGGAGGATAGTAGGGTTTTGTGAAGCAACAAACAAGTGGGTGTCAGTTGAAGCAGGAAAGCAGTAAAAATTTTGATGAGAATGAAGCCAGTGAGTCTCCTCTCATTGCATCTCACAGACAGGTTATTTTTTTCCATTTAATGTATGTCCAGCAGGGGGCGCAGTATCGATTATGGATGTTTGGTTAAGGATGTGACAGTTGCCCAGCAGGGGCGCTTAAAAACACCAGACCTGGTTTGAGATGCTCCAGCAAGATGCCTGAATGTATCAAAGGGAAAACACACGTGTGACCTGAACGGCCAAGCTAAACCTGGATGTGCAATTCTGGAAAGATCCATCCAGCTACCCGACCTTCCACTGCTTGCTCTGATCGGAGTCACCTGGAGCTCATGCCAGGAAGCAGGAGGAGTTAGACTGGGGATGCCAGTCCATTCCAGGGCACACACACTGCCAAACACTCTGGGCAATTTAGAGGCACCAATTAGCCTAATTGCTTGTCTTTGGACTGGGGTGTGATAACAGTGCATCACCATACGAGTTCCACAAAACACAGAACGCGGGGAGGATTCAAGTCCGCAACCTGGGAAGTAGGAGGCAGCAGTGCCACTCGCTCAGTCACCATGCCATCCCGGTTTGGAGAAATAAATATAATAAATACAGCCCCTCCTGTGGAATAGTCACTGGTGCTTCCGCTGATTCTCAGCGACAGATGCAGTGAGTAATCAATAAATCTGAGCCTATTTTGCGAGAGAAACAAAATTTTATGTCTATCCAGCATTCCCCCTGCCACCTTCCACCTCCTCTCCCCCACTACAGGAAACCCCTAACTAAGGCGGCATTCTGTAATTGCTCTCCAGACAGTGATGCATTACGGCACTTAAACCTCAAAGTTGATGGTTTATTAGCCACATGACCCACACATACATTCTGTGGCTACGCCTCTGCCTTTAGTTATGGGTCGGAGATGCTAGCAAGCGTTAGCAGCGGGTAGCAGGAGGAGCCATGCAGCTCAACCCATCGGCCATGCTGGTCTGGTCAGGCCGGCGATTCACAGCAAACATGAGCCGTCTGGTGATTAATGGTGTAGCGTTTGGCTCTGTTGGTTAGGATGACTGACCAATGACTAGAAAGTTCAAATCCCATGCCTGAAAAAATAACAATATCACTCTTGGGTCCTTGAAAAAGACAATTTACCCCAAAGACGGAGAGAACGAACACTGTACCCTGGTCCTGTGCTACACTCTCACTTGTATATGTGTGTGTGCTTGTGTGTCTAATAATACAGCAAAATGACATATGAGGAAATTGAATCTCGTTGCACTTGATTTCATCTGTACAATGACAATAATGGCATTCCGTCTGTCGGTTTCATCATTTGGTGTGGCTTAGGTGCACAGTGACAATATTCATTAATTCATCCTTCGTCTGAATTCTGCTCCCAGAGTCAGGTTTAATCTTTAAATCTGTTTTTATGAGAACAGTTTGTACACAGGCCAGTGTTTTACCCAGACTACTGCCAAGCCGCCAAATAGCTTACACTGTATATTCAGTGGGGCAGCGTGCCTGTGATTGGAAGGTTGTTGGTTCAAATCCTAGGGTTGGCTAAATGATTTCACTTCTGGGTCCTTGAGAAAGGCCCTTGTTCAGGCAGAAAAACTCTATGAGACTATATGAAATGTATTTGATTTCTAATTGTTGCATTCTTTTAATTTGTAAATTACTTTCTGCAGCACAGTCCATAATCAATGATCTAAGCAGTCAACCAATGACATCATCTTTTCTCCAATGCAGGGCCATGTTAGAAGGGCCCAGAGCCCATCTCATGCAGCACAGGCTCAAGGCTGTGGACACCCTGGGCAGGATGCAGGCCTCCCCAGGACAGGATGCAGCCCTCCCCAGGACAGGATGCAGGCCTCCCCAGGACATACACATATGCACCCAGCTGCCTGTCTTTGGGGTGTAGTAGGCAAACAGCGCAAACCCACACAGTAGAGTGAGATCATGCAAACTGCACACACACAAAAGGGATTCAAATCCCCAACCATAAAGACAGGAGGGGTTAATGCTATTCACTCATACCAGCTTTTCCATGGATATTCATGGTTAATCAGAGCCATTCTGATTTATGTACCTTGCTCAGTCTCTAATTAGCATAGGCCCTGTCAACCTGTAGCCCGCAAAATATTCAGCTTGTTCCTTAAACGCTTCTTGCTACCATAACACCAAGCCTTCCTGATGCTCGAACCTGCGGCATTTGTCTACCTGGGGGTTTGACCGGCCCCTTCTCAATTTCCACGCACCTCCACCGTGAGGCTTACTTGGGCTCACTTACAGGGGCTCCGGCGAGCTGCCCGATGCAGCACCGTCAGCAGGGCTGTCGTATTGTTTCGGTGGCTGGATCAGCCTTTAAATCACTCTGGTGCAGAAGAACGTCACATCCAGGCCGAGAAAATCAAGCTGAGCATCCCCTGCTTTTAGAAATCTGCTGACATGGGGCGGAATTGGCCTTACAGCTGCTGCCTGGCGCTAACACGACTCCCGAAGGCATGGAAACCTTCTCCCACTCCTGCAGTTCACGTCTTTCACTCCCAGACATGCCCAGCAGGAATACCACCTCAACTAAGAAAGTCTGAAGACAAGAGGCTGCACCGTGAATCTCTGAGTGAATCTCAGCTGTGAACAATTTTACACTTCAGCTGAATACAACATTTTGGTGTGTATGGTGTGTGGATGCAAGATGGATGGATGGATGGATGGATGGTTGGGTGGTCATATGGTGGACAGATCACTAGAACATGGCAGGAAACTAGACTAAAAAAAAGAAACTCACACAAACAAACAAGGTCTCCCCACAGACAAACAGCTGATAGCAGAATTAGACCCAAAGTTTGGGTATCTGTGAGACAGCTACCATGACCCTGACCTCCTGCTACCTGGCCAGCCTGGCATTACACTCAGAGAAGAGGAATCCACACCAATAAGGACATGAGATGTGCCACAATCAGAACGCAAACCTGCACCCCTTCCGATCATAAGACTTCCAGGCAACAATGCTGATGCCTTTTGGGCAACCCCCCCCCCCCATCAATGTGCCTTCTGTCCTTGGAAAGCATGTGGTTTGCCAGGCTTCTAAAGAAGCTTTGTGAGGTCTCCAAAGCATGGGCAGATACTCCCCAACTGGTGGGACAGCAGCTTTTTCCAGCCAGTGATAAGGACTTTACCGAAACTGCCTTGTTGTGTCATATCAACCCTTTCCTCTCTCTAGTATCTCTTGTGATGTATAAAACTAAAGTCATAAAAGCTTCTTTCATTCTATTTATTCAGCTGCAAAGGTTGAAATAGCTCCTTTGGCCTTAGGAATTAGGAAGAAGTACTTTTAATACATTTAATCTTTAATGGAAACAGCCTAAGGCACACCAATGTCCCAGTCTCACTTACATGTATATATCCCGATTACTGGTAATATGGCAAGATATAATTATCATAATTTAAATCCATGCCATTTTCTTCAACAAAAAAAGCAAAATTCTCCACTATACCAGTGAAGATAAATGTCATTAGTGATTCCTTTGAAAGGGAAACAATTTCTTTCACGAGAACTGTTGTTCAACACTCCAGAAAAACTCCCAGGACATTAAAATTGTACTTTAATATTGTTTTGTAAAAATAAATCATTGTGCCAGTGATGTTTGATTATCAATTATCCTGGTCCACAAATATCAGAAACACACAGAAAATGAACATTACATCAAATAGTCAACATATATCACGATATCAGAGACCCAGAAATGAGAGCAGCATCCCAGTACAGATTTACTTCAACATGAGTCTGTTTCCATTTAATTATACATTAATTCTGGGGTCAGTATTGCTCTTTATTTGTCCAAAACTATAATATCAAGTTCCTTGTCAGGCATTTACATGCAGTACATTAACAATTAAAAAAAAAAAAACTTAACATGTCAGTGCATTTTGCATGCCTGTATGTCCAATTGAATTTCCCATGTAAACATATTATGCAAGTGTTTTATTTAAAAGTCTATTTCCTAAATTCATACCCCATGGAGGAACAGATGATACCTTTGTTTTCTTTATCATATAATTATCTCGTTTTTAAAAAGCATTTGAAATTTCTGACTGATATTTCAGTATAAAATGTTTCCCCCCCCCCTCCTTGCAGTGAATACAAAGAGTCAGACTTTTGAAAAAATATGCAGCACTGTATAAACCGGTGAAGATAAAAAACAAAAAAAAACTATATAGCCCAGGTTACTGACAGACCAGTCATTCCAAAAATGACGATAACAGAACATGCATCCTTTCAAAATTGAAAGATTTAACATCAGGGGCTCTGCAGCTCCTCATTGTCAATCAACGTGTCCTTCTTGAAGAACTTGGCGTTGCGAATTGAGCGCCACACTCCAGCGTAAGTGTCACTGAAAGACGTGCTGTTCGTTTCACCGTTGGGACGGTTGACCCAGTTTTGCAGCTCGATGGATTCTGTTATGCCGTTTTCTGTCACGGGACACTCTGTTTGGTCGGTCACGCCAACAACGTCACCCGATTGGTCCCCCGTGTCCCCGCTTGGCTTCTTCTCTTCAGTGTAAGGCTCTCCAGGCAGCTCCTGGTCCTTGCTACTCGCCTCCAGGTCCTGGTAGTTACTTTTCTTCTTGGTCTCAAAATACTTCACGGCACAGTAGGTGATGGAGCCCACGGTGTTGACCACGACCCCGGCCACGAAGAGGTTAGTGGGTTCCACGTCGCTGAAAGCCAGCATGCCCACGGTGATTGTGGCGATGCTCTTCACCACTCCCACGAAACTGGTGGTGACGGCCGAGTTGATGTAGGTGCAGTGGAGGGTGGTGAAGTTCATGGCGCAGCCGATAAAGATGGAGGTCATGAAGAGGGAGGTGATGTACGGATTGTTCCAGCCGGAGTATGACCACATGTGTACGGCGTCCATGCTGATGAACGAACATATCAACAGCACCGGCGTCGCCGTGACGGCGATGGCGTACTGAGCCGTCAGCGGGCCGTAGTCACTGTCTCCACTGGTCTTCTGAATGAGCACCAGGTACAACGCGTGGATGATCACAGCCAGGACACCAGTCACGTAGCCAAAAGGGTCCCCAGTAAGGTCTCCGGCTCCTGAGGGGAAACCATGTCACAAGTGTCCCATCAAAATAACACCACCTGCCTCTTTACGTGTGATTTATCATTTTTTTGTTCCTAAATCGTCACTTTAAAGCACCGCCAACAAAGCAATTAATTTCTCATCATTTTATTTCCCATTTTCTTTCACATTTAAAGGAAAATGCAACCATAAATACACACTCTCCCAAAAAAAAGGGTATAAATTAATACCTTTGCTTGTAACTGGGGCTGCACCCCCAAGGGTCTGTTAGTTGCAAGTCGTAAATTATTGTAATTTTAAGATACAGAAATGGACTTTGATGAACATTTCAGTACCTTTGGTGGTACATTAATGCTATTTGTACCTTTGGGATGTTCCTCAGAGTCCATTTCTGTACCTTAAAAGGTACAATTATAAGGGTACAGCCCCAGTGACAAGCAAATGTACTTTTTTTTTTACCATTTTTTTCCGAATGCAGGCACAAGACTGTCAAAAGGAATGAATTAAATTAAGGAATTAAGTAAATTAAGATGCGCTAAAGTGATTAAAGCAGTTTAACTACTGCCACACCCCTGTGCGCCAAACGCCGCATATTCAGGATTGCAAGTTAAAATGTCACATCGCAAGCACACAGTACAAGTTAAAAGCAAGAATATTAAGAATTACCGGCTAACGCGGCTCCTCCGGTCGTGATCAGCACCGCCGTTATCACTCCAATGGACGGGATCCCGTTTTTCAAGACGCAGACGCCGATGCTTAGAGTGACTAAAGGCAAACAGCGTTTAAAAACCACATACATAGGGAGACTCAGTCCCCTCAGGGACCAAAGAGTTAGTGTTGATTGTAGCGTGGACAGGATGCACACGCTGGCGAAAACTTTTGCTAAATTGAAGCTGTAGGGAGGTATGTCCACTTTGCCGAGCCTCCGGAGGAGCTCCAGGGACAGCGCCGCAGTGCCGCTGGTCAGGAACTGTATGAGCGTGATGTACCTGAAGCTGTAAGTCGTTATGAGAAATTTCAACAAAATGTTTAACGATCCCGAGAAAAATCCGTGCGCGACTGCCACCGAAATGCCCAGTAAACGACCTTTGCAAACTTCCATGGCTCCTTAAAATTAATCTCAGGCCCGCAAGTGTAATAGAGGAGGCGATAAGGGTGCGATCAGCCCCAAGTATACTGTCACACAAACCTCCCCCTTCGAGCAGAGAGCTAAAAACGTCTAAGTTATTAATGTCAGGCAGAAATCAATCGGCAAACACTGGCGTTTATGTGAAGGAGGTCCACTTAAGCAGAGTCATGGTCAAAAAGAAGGAAAAAAAAAGCTTCGACCTGCTGACGCATTTGATTCAGCGGCGAAGCTGCGCGGTTTTCATTTATTTAATTAGGCGTCTCGGCCGGGAGTTGAATCTCCATTTCTCCGCTTCTGAACCCAGCAGAGCTCGGACGGGGCTTGTGTGCCGTATAACCGAACGGCACAATCCCCCCCCCCAATACCCCCACTCCTGCGCAGGATGCGGGCGGCTCGCGCTGCTCCTCTCGCCGAAAGCCAATGCGGACATTGCATCGTCCAGGACACCTACCTTCTTTAATCCTATCACTCACTTTGACAAACTTTCCCCACATAAAAAAATAATTATATAACTAATTACGCTGCTCATACAAGCTCCTCTAATGCAACTTTATCCGGGAAAGTTTTTGAAGTCAATTATTCTGAGTGGGCTCATATACTTAGGACCAGAACAAAAACCGCAATAATAATTTATGGTAATTATTTTAATATTATATTATAATTTTTTAAATTGTAATTTTAATTTTTAATTGTAGCCGCGTACGACTGAAAACCCAAACCTCCGCTTCTACAAACCGCATAGACTTGACAAGGCAAATCATTAAATATAATAGCCTAATGATAATAAGCAAACATCTGCGTGGAGATGGCTTACAGTTTATTTCGTTTGTTTAAACTTAACATGCATAAATGTATGTAAACGAACCATAATCTAGATGCTTGTTTGTACCTCATATTTCATTATGGTCTTCCGATATGCTTTGTGAAATGAGCCACGCTGCACGGTATCCGCATTCACCAGTCGTGAAAACCTCAACCTCACCCCAGACAACGTGATGGCAGATTTTTTGATGCAAATGTTTTCAGGTTACAACCACAAATGTCTGAGCACGATGCAGGACTTTTAATATATATTTTTTTAAAAACAGGGATCACATACAGCATGATTGAGAATAAAATTCAACCATCATTTTCTCGTTACCAGAAATTTGACAAAGCGATCTTTGCAACAAATCTCAAAGCACATAATATTTTAGATACCATTCAACACTCCCGGTAGGGAAGTTACATATCAAAGAATAACCCACACATCTCTCCATCTTCCACAACTTGTATTCAATGTAGTGAAACTGAAACCTGAGGAAACACAAGGCACCATGCAGAGTGGACCCAGGATGGAAAGAAGGGGATTTTATTATTTTTTAAACCGTTTTTGCATATAACCTACTTCCTCTATGTTCTATCAGACTTGGTAAACCATTTACCCGAAAGAACACGTCATTTAAAAGTAATCATAGCAGGTACACATGTCATCAAACGCCATTAAAATAAATGGGGGAAATTTATTGAACACCTTTTAACAAGGTATAAAAAGCACGCGAGAACGCATGCGGCACCTGTAGAGTTACATATGCAGAGTACATCGCGTCCATTACGCCATCGGCCTCATTCATCTCCGCACGGCCCGTCCCAAGGCTCCACTTAATAGCATCATTAAGAGAGCTGCAGTAAGTCTTTGGCAAAGTGCTGCCGGCGACTTGAACCGCAACGAGTCCGCGGTGCTCCCCCTCCGCCTCCCTAGTCGGCGCACGGCTGAAGGTCGGCCAGGCTCGCCGGGATGTACACCTTCACCGTCTCATCCCAGGCACAGTCCACCACCTGCAATCGCAAAATATGAAACTCAGAGAGGAGCCCAGGAGCGGCGGATAACTATCAAATTAGGCACATCGTAATTACCGGTAACCGTCAAATACTACTCATTTTGAGGTTTTAGATTAGTCAGGATCGTAGAGTCAATTTCCATCTCTAAACATCCATCCATTAAAGGGAAAATCTCCTGAGAGATTGTGTTAAAGCACAAACTAGCACAGACGCGGCCATATCAAGGCTTTAAGCCTGACACCTGCTGCTTAAGAACGATCACCAATCTGATACGGACGGATTAATGGCGATCACCAGTCGAATGTCCCTTAGGTGCTTGCTGGTGTCAGTGGCACTGAGTCAGTCTCCAGGGAATGATTAATATCAGTGCTTCACACAGCCAGTCGTTCTCACTGCCCCCATCATGCTTAATTGTTAAACTTATATTCACGGCGCATTGATCGGTCTCAGACTAATCCAAAGGCACAGTCTAAGAAAATAAATAGGGGTGGGAAAGCTGAGAGCAGAGCCTTACTGGAAATCGTTAAATCGATCAGGTCAGCTTTTGTGGTAAAACTAGGCAGAACAAATGGTGATTTATATGTATTATTTGGGGGGGTGTTCCACGTGACGCGGGATCACAAGGTCCACTGATAAGGCGATTATTCTTCCAACCTGGCGATCGCACCACAGCCTCGAGGCGTGTGGCACCAGCATTTCCAGCAGGGAGGGTCGCCACGCACTCCGCCAGCTCGGAGTTAACCCCTTATGGTATAACAGGCCATAAATGAACTGTGATACTTTTCGCGTTTGAGGATTAACAGTCGTTAAAACATGCATCCATCACGTTTTAAATAACTCGTAGGGACATGAAACGGACATTCCTCTGAGAGCTGACTGTTACCGACTGCCCTGGGGTGCAGCTTAGCTAATAGAACAGGCAGCTGGATTTACATTTTGTCATCTAGCTGACATTTATCCAAAGCGCCTTACAAATTATTCCCATTTATACAACTGCTAAATTTTAATGTAGTCGTGCAGGTCACTCAAGGGTACAAAAGCCGGGAACCAGCAGGTTACAAAGCCATGTTCTTAACCCCTTTTTGAGTACAAAAATGAGGAAGAAATAATTCAATTTGTAATGTAACGCATTTTTGTGCAAATTGCCTATTATGAAATTTAGATGGCGATGATCCGGACACCATGAATGGCAAATGAATAAGACTATGAATAATCTTTTCCCACACTCTGGTGACTGGAGCCGCACTGTGCGTACAGCTCTGATAACCGGCCGTGCCAAGAACACGCGTCCCTGTCGCGGTCACCAAACGCCGGTGACAGCAGGTCCTGTCAAAGAGAGATCAGCTGCACAGGGCTGAACCGCGATAGAAAACATCGGCGTTTTATCGTAGGTGAACCCCCCTTACGACTGGGGCTTTGGCCGTTTCATTCAGCTTTCTCCTCTGCGCGGGTAGGTGGGGGGGGGGGGGGGGGGGGGGGGGGGGGGGGAGTCGTTCATTACCGCTGAGTACCATAGCAAAGAGCTCCTGCAGCTTCATTGCCAAACAGTCAGGCTGAGTCATCCATTGAGATTAAACAGCCTGTGTTAATATCTATTCTATGGGAAAGTCAAGATGGGAGGAGGTGCCTGGGGGGCTGGGGGGACACCGAGGCTGCAGGAGAGGAAGGAAGAGGAGGAAGACGCAGGGAGGCGATTGGAATCACAAGCCACGTGTATCTCCTCTGGCCCACAGTGTCAACTACCATCTTCACCTTATTATTACATTTGCACTTTCATCCAAAGCAGCTTCAACTTTGATCCATTTATACTGAATCAAAAAGCTCAGGCCAGCACCGCAGAGCACTTGCTGGGAGTTACTAAGGAATAGGTCTCAGAGATATGTACCCTCTCCCCAACCCATGTGCGTGGAGGAGAGCCACGGTGGACCCTGGGGCAACGCCGCGGAAACTCAGGTCAGGGTCAAGCGATGATCGTCGAAGCTGAAAAGGAATGTCTGTCCCCAAAACCTTATAGCACGTAACACTGCTAAAACTTACGGCATGTAACGCAGCTAAAACTTACGTCACATAACGAAAACTTACGGCACGTAACACAGCTAAAATTTACGGCATGTAACACAGCTAAAACTTACGGCACGTAACACAGCTAAAACTTACGGCACGTAACGAAAACTTACGGCACGTAACACCGCTGAAACTTACGGCACGTAACACAGCTAAAATTTACGGCACGTAACAAAATCTTATGGCACATAACACAGCTAAAACTTACGGCATGTAACGCCGCTAAAAATTACGGCACATAACAAAAATTCAGAGCTGATGTGGAAAGCTCTGGGATTCTTCCTTTCTGCTAGAGGCACAGGTGTTGTGTGCGAGGTTTTGGATGGGTTGTTCTAGAAAGGGCTCGGCCCATCGCCAGTGATGTCTGGGGGCAGTCGTGCGGAGCTAGCAAAACTGGGGCTGGGGCTGCAGGCCACCAGGGAAGGGCCCTGTGTGGTGGCTGCATCCGGGTCCTCGGATTGGCAGGGGGAGAACTGCTGATTTGCCCAATCAGTGCAGAGCCCCTCCCTCCAAGACCGCGTCATCTCCAGGGGCCGCTCCTCTAAGAATCGCTCGCACTTGGACATGTTCAGGTTTTCCCCAAACTGTCCTCGATTTGCCAGCTGTGAAGGTCGTGTAGCTTTATCAATGAGCTGCCTCTCTGTATCCCTCAGGATGTCATTACACAGAAACATGAGGGGGGGCGCCATCTTCCCATATGTTGCCACTCCTGCCTGGGCCATATAACCACCTTGGCAGAGTTTGGGTTGGACGGGTAGCGTGACGGTGACCAGTGCAGGCCTAACTTGGTGTTAAGGATGGGCAGATGAGTTTGGTCTGGCTGTACTACTGGGTTAATCCCTACCCCCAACACTTCTCTTCCAGCCGCATTAATATTGCCCCTCTTCGAAAGGGCGAGTCTTAGTTGCCTGATAGCTGACGCTTGTCGTTGTAGGTAATCTTCAACTTCAGCGGACCTGATAACACGTACAAATCGCATGTGTTTTGCTGAGGTAAGGATGCAATTTGAAATTCAAATGTACTTATTTACAAAAGGGCCGAGTCTCACGGGAGTTATGAAGAATGGCCGTAATTTCAGAGGCGAAATTGGTTATTTGATTGGTCTTTTGACTCCATCACGCTGGCATTGGTCTCCCTGGCTCTGTGCCTGTCCAGCCTTCCATCTCACTCGGTGACAGAGCTATTACTCTGAATGCCTGTGCAGTTCCTTCTCTGGCCATAGGCGGCGCTAATGGACAGCCAGGTTCATAATGGAGCAGCTTGTCAAAAGCCAACAGCGAAAGTGACGAGCTGCATCACATGACCTGCTGTCCACCACTGGGTACTGAGAGAGAGTTTAGACAGGCTGTTGAAGTTGAAGCTTAGATTCTGGAAAAGCTCGACATGAAATCACAATGCTATGTTCTGGAAATGACACCCAGATCAGACTTGTCTCTGTGTGACAATATGGGCCTTATGGACGACAGTACCTCCTCATCTCGGCGACTGCTCCATCACGCTCCTTTAAGGAATCATGTGACCTATTACTACAAACAGGTGGCCTGGTGGCCCTAGCTAGCAGAGGCTGACTGGGACATGCAGATGCGTACGGCAGAGGAGGCTCCCGCTATGGCTGGCAGGTTCTGGCCTGTATCCAAGGAGGCAGCGCCGAGGATAATGATCCTGCTGCTGGTCGCCTCACATCTCAGGGAATTCCTGCGCTAAAGTGAAGCGCCCAGCACTGCATCAGCACTGGGTAATTGTGGATGTCAGCTGCATGTCACGCTCCGTGTTCCCGCTCAGCTCATTCTGTTAATCGGCACGACCGTGGTGGTGGGGGTGGGAGGGGGGGGAGGTGGGGATGCGGGGGTTACCTGGTTGGGTATGTGGAGGTTGAAATCCAGGCCGCATACAAACTCCGTGTGGTGCTCCAGAGTCTCCAGCAGCGGCTCCGGCCGGGAGAAGTCCCAGATTCTGGGGGGAGGAGGGGGGGGGGCGCAATCAGGCTAATTGAAAGGCTTTCCCTCTGCGCATGGGCACGCACCCAAACCCCTGACACAGCACCCACCCCGCAACCACTGCCTGCTGAGACAGACCCATCCACTCTGGAAATGTAATTAAATCAATTCCTTGGGTAGAAAAAATATATGTACCCCTGACTTGCACAAATACATTAGGAGAGGATTTATGCCAACACTGGGACGCCGTGTGGCCAAGACGCTGGTTACGGGGGCTGATGGGAGTGGGGGGGGGGGCACTGAGACTCAGACACCGACCAGTGATTTCCCACAAAGCTTTGAGGATCACACATAGGAGGCCGGACAACGGAGTTGGGGCGGACAAAAATATATAAGACATCGGTGATTTCAACAAATGATTAAACATATACGGTACTGGGCAAAAAACTTGGGTAGTCAAAGAAAATGGTTGAATGCCTATTGAGGTAGTAAGTGTATATTCGCTCTGGAAAATAACACAATTTGACAGCAATAAAAGCTGACAAGAAATTTTTCTGTACTCTCAAAAGTTACTGATATCTTGTTGGACGGCTAGATGAACACGCTTCAGTTCCCAAACATCTCCTCAGGGGCACCTCAGCCATTCCATTGATTTGCTAAATTTCATAACCAGCTCACTTAATTAACTTAATTAATTGAAGAACTCAATGAGGTATTGATTAGCCATTGATTGTGCTAGTGGTCAAGTCAGAAGATGCATTGGTGTACTGCATGGCTAAGCTGACACACTGCTACAGACATATCAGTTACACCAACATGAAGATTATTAAACATTTTCTTTGCCTAAGACTTCCACACAGTATAGCCGCACACACATGGTAATGCTAAAATTAAATTTAATCACGTAAATGCTGCAAGCATAAAACATAAGAACCACCAACCCTAACAACCTTCGATCGTACATTTGAAGGCAGAGGGTACATCGGCAAAGCAATCTCTGCGGGGGGGCGGGGGTCGGGGGGTTATGATAGAATACAGGCCTTATATAAATAAGAAGCCTGAATTGGAATCGATGAGTTCAGCACAGACACTTATTTTCACAGGAAGGTAGAAAAAATTTCCACTGGGGCAGTGATGGTGGTGGGGGGGGGTGGAGTTCCATTCAAGTAAAGCAATATCCTCTGTAAGGAGGCGCAAATAACACGGCCTAATGCGTGCACTGAGCGCCCCCCCGCCAGGCCGGGCCTCTTAATTAAGGGCCTATTAGCTGTTTGAGCGCACCATGGTAACCCAAGGTCTTCAGCCATCCTCTCAATGGAGAAGGACATTTAATCTTGTGTAAACAGCGGCGTCTGACACAGTGAAAGGCCCCCCAGCGGGGCACGAGGAGACCAGCGTGTGGGAGCAGGTGCGTTTCTGCACACGCGTCCGGAGGAGGGGGGGGGGCACGTGCACATTCGTCACTAGCTGCCCCGTGACGGGGTGCACACTTCGATCCCCCCCCCCCCCACCCCTCGGATGGACCAGCATATGGTCAGTGGCAAGCGCAGGCTGCAGGAAATGTTGCAGCGGCGTGCGGGACGTGCTGTGATTAAAACACCTGCTGCGCCCCTCCCTGGGTGACTCATCAGGCGGAGGCGGTCACTAAGCAATGGCTGCGGTCCAGGAGACAGTGGGTGGGGCATAGCACTTTAATCAGGCGGGGTGGGGGAGGGGTTGGGGGGGGGGCACAGGTACGGGGGATGCTGACATCCAGGGTTTATTTTCCATCCACGTGTCGCTGAGGCTCCTAAATTCATTTGACGTTCCAGAACAAACAGTTCCCATGACGACCGGCCGCTTCCTGCCATCGGACCAAACCAAGGGAGGAAATTACTTTTCACTGCCTGCAATCAGAAATCATTTATCTGATCCTAACAGGGGTCTTATAGGGCCGTGAGGTGGAAGACTCCACTGCGGGTCGCTTAGCACTGCTTGTTAATTTAGCCTCTTTAATAAACTCGCTCCTTCCGTACAATCATCACGACAACTGATTAAGAGAACATTACTCTGATCTTTGCATGTGCCCGTTTAAAGACGTCACTGTCATCGCTGCATGTTTATATGCAGGGTAAAGCCAGACGGATGGAAGGTGCCGGAATTTCCCAACGCTGTCGGAGGGGGTGGGGGGCACTGATACAGAGCCCCTTTAAGAGCGCACTCACCAGTGCTCTAGGGAAATGCATCCCATAGATGCGAAGCATACGTTCTGATGCACAACACAACTCGTTGAATTAACCTCCGGGACCGCAGCCCCTGGGAGCCCCCCCCGCCCCGCCTCTCATTTCCCTCAGAGACCAGCTCTGTAGTTAAAAGCCTGCACACTTGCAGGGCACTTCCTTCAGGAGAAAGCAAACCACTCGAGCTTGAAATTAAGAGCCGGTGTGATTGCGACGTTTAACGCTGCAAGCGCACGGCCGCCTCCCATTCACGCCGCGGCGTCGGGACTGACCTTTCCGAAAATGTCAGCGGGAACGTCTACAGCGCGCAGTCGAGAGAAAGGGGCAATTAAACCACTGACAACCCACCGTGTCCTACTTGCGTGTTTTTGTATACCCTCTATCAGTATTTCTCAATCCAGTCCTCAGGGACCCCCAGCCGGTCCATGTTTTTCCTCCCTCCCAAGTCCCTGGAAGCTGGGAGACAGCAAAAATGTGGACTGGCTTGGGGTCACCGAGGACTGGATTGAGAACCACTGCTGTATATCATCAGTACTGTGCAAAAGCCTTAAGCACTTAAAGGAAATGTTTAAGTCTATTTATCTGGGTAGTAAGTACATATGCACAGAACAAAAAGCACAATTTAACATTAGAACATATACAAATTAAAATTAACACAATAAAAACTAACAAGAATGTCTTCTGTTCTCCAAAAAGTTACTGATATCTTGTTGGACGATTAGATGAACACGCTTCAGTTCCCAAACCTCTCCTCAGGGGCCATTCCATGGATTCATTAAATTTCACAACAAGCTCACTTAATTAACTTAATTAATTGAAGAGCTTAGTGAGGTATTGATTTGCCAGAATGGTGTCTTAGCGGTCGAGGCAAAAAACTCATGGGTTGGTTTCTACAAATACTGGGGTGACTTCAGGAGAGGTTTTTAACTGGATAAGGAAAATCATTTAAACATCATTTTCTTTAACTGGCCAAGACTTACACTGTACTATATATTGCAGTATTGTAAATACTGTACGCATATTGTAAATCATCCATGTTATATATATCGTTCTGCAGGGACGTGTGCAAGAAATTTGTACATTGTACTGTCATGACAATAAGTCTCTGGAATCCTTTGATTGCTTATTACTAATAACTCTGACGGTGATTGTGCCTAATTTGCCGAATTTAATTAGCCTCTTATTCCCGCTAAAGCAGCCAACGGGATCAGACGCTGGTATACGGGGACGCCTTACCTCACGGTGAAGTCGTAGGAGCAGGAAGCCAGTAGAGTCCGGTGAAATGGGGAGAACTGGGAGGAACGGGGGAGGGGCAATCAGTACAATACAGAACGTCTGAGCAGCAGCAGGACGCCGGCAGGACGCAATGCTAAACACACAGGGGTGCGTGTTCAGTAAACAAACCAGATAAAGGTGCTGAGGCTGGGTTTTTTTTACCGGTGCCCCATCTCGGTGCGCATCTTCAACGATAACAGCTGACATGGGCATATGCCTAAATAATTCACCGTCTCACACAGAAACCATGTGACACACAGCAAAATTCTGGGCAAAATGCCCCAGGGCAAGGGTGCTGCAATCTTTTAAAAGAAAAACTGAAATAAACATCTCTTGCATATGATCTTGCTCTTTGTCTCCTGACAGACAAAAGGCCAATGCGTGTTTATGAAACGCGGCACAAAAGCACACAGGTGCAATTTGTCACAGATCACCTGAATCACGCCCCGAATTCCCGTTGGAGGCTTCGATTTTATTCATCCCGGAGATGGAAACGTTTTTCTTTAACGTTAACGTGTCATTTCATGAATGGCTGGGAGAGGTCAGAGCCATTTAACGAATTGGTCACTAATTAAATGAATATACTGTCGGCACAGCCGGCGTGGACTCAACCAAACTAATTCTTCAGCAGAAAATCCATATCAGTCTCTAGCTATGCGCTGTTTCGAACACAGACCCACATTAAGTAGGATGTGGGCAGAGCCTGTCAGAGTTCTTCCCCTGTTCCACCACAAATGATCCAGCTGTAGAGCTGGATGGTAATTAGCACCAGGAGTTGAATCAGGTGTGTTAAATGAGGGGAAATCTAAAAATGTGCAGGGTTCCGGCCCCCCAGGACTGGAGCTTGACACCCCTGGTGTAGATGCAAGGCGGCGTAGTACCCACTTTGAGCCTCCGGATGGCGTAGGAGTGGCCCAGGAGCTCGGCCACGGGCTGCCGGGTGCTGCGCAGATCCCACACGCGAAGGCCGCAGTCCACCGCCCCCGTCACCAGCACATTCTGGACACGCCGCCCAAAAACATGGACCAATCGCAGGATCAGTAAAGGCCCTCTCTATATGCCACTGGTCACCAACTGGAATTTGACCCTTGGGGATGAATAGTTGGGGACCCCTGATTTAGGAGCGCACTGCACTCCAATTAACACCTCTTAGGGACTGTTCTTTTGGGTTGTGAACCTATGACCTACAGGAAACAGAATACTGACCCATTCAGAGACATGGACACTGGATAATGGACCGCGTAGGTTAACCAGCACCCCCGGGAATTGGGGGAGGTCTGACCAGGGGCCCCACTAGAGATTCGGGGCCCCATCAAAGAATATCATACTGAGCCCCCGACCCAGTCACTCAGGGCCCTTTGAATCAGCCTAACTTCCTCACCCCCTTCAGGGAGCCCCAGGGCCAGACGAGGGAGGAGGGACACACTGCGACACGCCTGCTTCCCCAACCCTGAACATCACCCTGACGGGGCAGAGAGAGCCACTACTGCGGCACTGTCACACTCCGTCGAACCCGAGGACGAGCTATTGAGATGCTAATGTGCAGAAGTGCTCCCGGGACGGCGTTCTCAGGAAGGGCGGGGGGGGTTTGATGATACCTGGTCGTACTTGCACCAATCGCAGCTGAGGATTTCAGCATTGTGGGCGGGGATCACCAGCCTGGACACGCCCATCTTCACATCCCACACTCGGAGCGTCCCGTCCCCTGCAGAGACAGGCGGGGCAGGTTAGCACGGTGGGGAGGGGAGGGCCAGAATCTGTGAGGTTTCATTCCCCATTTGGGCTGGGATAGACATGGCTCCGAGCAGGACAGACCCGCATGCACGCAATCACACGCTAAGGGTCGTTCAGGGGGAACAGACCGGGAAATGGAACCCGAACCTCTAACCCATCAGGCCACCACGGCCGTGACTAATGGCGTAAATATCAGCCACCCCCCAGGCCTCAGGCGTTACGCCACTGCCAAGCCACTGGGAGGGGTTCGTGTGCTCAACTTCAACCAATCAGGGAGACACTACTGGATCACCTGATCATGACTGTTGCTGTTTATATCCCTGTATGAAATGTTAGCAGGTTATTGTTATGGTTTTTGTGATCGGAAGGTCGTCGGTTCAAATCCCATGGTCAGCAGAGTGATGTCACCATTGGGTCCTTGAGGAAGGCCCCAGTTGCCAGTTTGACCCTGCTTTCTCAAAAAAAGAAATAAAATTATTTATATAATGTATATGTGTGTGTGTGTGTGTGTCACTTTGGCTAAAAGCGTCTGCTAAGTAAATAATACATAAAAGTAATGTAATTTTTAGCATCTTGTACTCTACAGAGCATCAACAGATGCCTGACAGACACATAATTACAGCAAAGAGCACAGAGCAGCAAAAACCCAGCATCTGACACCAAGTTAGGAATTCAAGGAGTATCTCCCCCCTTCGCCTGCGTCTGTCCTTCTTGGAAATGAAATGGAAAGTACAAGCAGTTGTATAATTGATGCATCAGCTCTGTTCAAATTAAGCGACTTCGATTCTGAGAATTAGGCATGTCCGCAACTCGGGGAAGGGCGATGGGCGACAGCTTTGATTTGTAAGTCGTAGGAGCTGGGGGGGTGGGGTGGGGTGGGGGGTGGAGGCTGACAGCTTTAATTAAAGGCGACTCGGATCCTTTGCAGAGATTTCTGCAGCCTGCAGCACTTCGGGACTCGCGTGTGACGGCAGGGGGCGGCTGGCCGCCCCCCCCTCTCCGGGCTTCCCTGTCGAGGGGCCTTATCCTTCCATCTGAGACACAGGGCCTGCTAGGCTAAACGAACGCTGACAGACATCCAACTGGCCAACAGCACATCCATTGTGCCGAGCAACAGCTGCTATGTAGGAGCAAGAGCCACAGATAATCGAATGGCAATGAAAGTGCGGCCCATGTTTTCAAGCCTCCAATTTCTATTTGTTTATTCTGTGTCAAGGTCACCTAGGGGGCAAAAGCCTGTCGCAGGCAGCACAGGGCACAAGGCCAGGATGCACCTTGGACAGGATGCCAGTCTATCGCAGGGCACAAGGCCGCGATGCACCTTGGACGGGATGCCAGTCTATCGCAGGGCACACGCAAACACAAAAATCACACTCCAGGAGCAACTCGGAAAGCTGTTACCTAACCGCACGTCACGTGAATTGAGGGGAACACGCGCACACACGCTGAACGGAGGCAGGATTCAAATCCGCAGCTCTGGAGGTGTGAGGCAAGAAGGCCAACCACTGAGTTAACACGCCATAACCTAACTCAACCGTAATAACTAATACATACTTATCTATGGGTTGTTATGCCAGAAAAACAATTAGAGTAAATTGAATTTAAATTGAAAATCTAAGGATGTCCTGAGGGAAATCTCGTCATGAGGGATTTACGAGGCATGCCTGAGGAGGACTCCATGCACCCGTCCTACTCCTCCCCACACCGTCTGCGCCCGCGAAAGACCAGCCCCGCCCCCTCTCCCACAATGCCGTGCGGCCGCAGGCAGCGTGAATCTCGCAGATGCGGTAATCTCATTCCCGACAAAGAAACAGCCTTCCCCCGAGGTCCTGAGTGTGCTCGCTGACCCTGCCAGTTCCCGAAAGCCGACCGAAACACCCCATGCCTGTCACGTACGTCACGGCACGGGGAAGCTCCACGTTGCTCCGGGTGTGTAGAGAAGGCGCGATGAAAAAAATTACTTTTCCACCAGACGACAAATTCCAGCTTTGTCGTGGCCACCGTTCTGCTTGACAGGACCCATGATTCACCACCCCCCCATGCCATCTTCGGCACACCTTTGCCTCCTGCCACACCAAGGGCAGTAGGGCCCCTTGGTGACGCCGAGCCTGTTGGCTGTCAGTACACTCCACAGCCACAGTGTGGTGCTGTAGAGCACGTGTCAGCTGAGATCATACCTGTGGCACACTCCGACACGCACGTACACATGGACACATGCGCCAGCCTGCAGACGGCCTCCCCTCGAGGCATACAGCTCAGCCATGATGCACTAATTCATACCCACTACCTCATCTAGCTGACTACTGGACAGCAGTCGCCAACATGTGACCCACAGGGAACCAATGAGAAGCTCACATAACACTTTTTAGAAAAATGACCAATTACGTTTCATTTTGGTTTTTATTTGACTTATGCACGTGCACATCTGGTTGGCAAGCGTCATCACTCCCCCCCCCCCCCCCACATTTATTTAACTCTGTATGAAACATGTAGTTCCCCAAATTACTCTATCCGTAGAAGTGACTCTCACCACAAATGAGGTAGGAGACGGCTGCCATAAGATTTCCGTAAAATCAGCTGTGAAATTCAGCATTCGTCATCTTCTAAGGGGAAGACTATAGACTTTCCAGGGAAGCTGCCAATGCAGAGATTTTCTATACTGTAATATGCTGTAGAGCAGTGTTTCCCAATCTGGTCCTCGGGAACCCACAGACAATCAAAGTTTGCTCCCTCCCAGCTCCGGAGCAAAAATGTGGACTGTCTGACAGGGATTTGTGAGAGAGTGAAAACACGGACTTGATGTGGGTCCCCGGCGATGACCAGATTGGGAAACACTACTATAGAGCTTTACTATAGAACTCGACCACAGCACTTTTATGAGTGTGAAAAGGACTGCATTGACCTTGTCTACCCTTAATTCATCTTACTGAAATTCACAACAAAACCCAGTGTCTTAAAAATTAATGAGCTGGCAAGAGAGGCAGTTTGAAGCAGCAAGTGTGGATGGTTTTATAGCACAAAAGATATGAATAGAGATATATGCATGCCAATTTAATATCACACTGATGCAGAACAAATAAATCTGTACAGGCATGAAAAACGTGAAAACCTTAAAGATTCTTACAATGCAGACAACCTGAAAGCTGCTCGTCTACATGGTGTAATAAATGCAGACAATATTACAGAGATAAGAATGCAAAAGTCACATGACAAGGATGCAACAGAACAGGTTTAACTGTACGGTCTGTTTCTGCTCTGTTCTGAATTGAATTTTTTACATACATTTAGATCTTATTTCTACAGGTATAAATGAACATCTCACCAGCCCTCCAAACACCTAAAAATATAGGAACAAACGATTTAATTCCACAAAGAGCCAGTTAATACCACTTTAATCAATGGCAACCCTGGTCATCCTGAATCAGAATATTGTTCATTTACCAGCATTTAAGGTGAATCCACCAACAAGTCCTTAGCAAACAAGGCACTGGGCTGCCTGTAACAGTGACATTCAGAACCTCCCATTTTAAACGGGCAGGCAGTTTTTATAAACAGCACACCTGTCTATAATCAGAGCTGTGCTGTCAGTCACGCTGCTCGGACTCAGCGTTGACCAGGCTTGAATGTTCAGCGTCTCGGACCTCAAGGCTTCGAAGCCCTTTAGTGACACCATGTGGCCGCTTTGGGTATTACCAAAGGATGCAAATTAACAGATAACAGAGAGTGCAGTTGATACAGCTACAGGAAAGCGGGGAAATCAGTCACCCACCTGAAGCAGAGGCGAAGCAGCTGGTGACGTGGGGGGACCACACTGTGCTGTAGACGACCCCCTCGTGGCCCCTGAAGGTGCAGAGTGACTGGGGCCGCTCCAGGTCCCACTATGAAAACAGATCGGAACGGCCTAATTATGAAAAGTGCAGCAATTAAGACGAGTGGGTCGCTGACTTTGCCAATCAGCAATATGCATGTTTTTATGAAATGGGGGGGGCACTCACCAATTTAACGGTGTGGTCCCACGAGCCGGACAGCAGCAGAGCTTCGCCCCGCACCTGGCTCCAGTCCACACTGTACACCTGCACGGGGAGGGGGGGCAGTTACAGGCTTCACCCGCGCCGCTAACATGGCTGGCATATCAGAGCACAAGAAGCCCCCCCCCAGGGGAGAACACAGCATGACAGCTTGGGGAGTCGCTGGCATAAGAGCGTGACCTCACCCGTGTGATGACGTATCACTCGCTAACATTAACCCCAAATACGCTATCCAATCTACGTCCAAATCAGGGCGCCTATTCCTGGCACCAGTGAGCACAAGACGGGGGGGTACAGCACCTCACACACACAATCGGACGCTTCTGGCAGGCTTGTAGCTAGAAAGAAATAGACTTTGGGAAGGGGTCCCCTCAAGAGATTTGTCCGACCAGGAGGACGTGTCAAACCTGTAACTTTATTACCGGTCCATGTGCCTGTAAGGACAATTAGCCTGACTCTATGCCTCTGGAATGTGGGAGGAACCCCCCCCCCCCCATTGACAGAGAGAACGTACAGCCTCCACACATGCTGAGTGGACGAGGTGTTCAAAATCCCAAACCTGTAAGCAAGAGAGATACCTTCCCAAACGCACAGTAAAGACCAAGATGACCAATTGTGGACACAAGGGATCGTTTTCAGTAACTACGTTGCCCCTAAGTTTTGCCTTCTGGGTGAAATAATGTAAAACAATGTTTTGGTAAAATGCTACATACCAGGACTGATCACAGTCAAGGTTATATAGGGCATTCAGCGAACTGCTAAGCTCTGTGACGTCACGCAGCCGAAAAGACGACTTCCTTTTCAGTAACTGGGTCAAGTGCACAACAGGAAGACTCCTGCAGGAACTCGAGCCTCCAGTGGCACCGGCTCCTTGCAGTCTAAACCGGCTCGACCAAGCGAAGCTGAAGCAGGACCAAAGGGGGGCAGGGAGGAGGTGAGGGGGACCAGGAGCAGGGCGCTCACCTCCTGTGTATGCTCCTTCAGCACCTGCAGGGGGCCCCGGGGATTCGCAGTGTCCCACACCTGCACAGATCCGTCCCCGGCCCCCGTCACCAGAACATGCTCGTTATTCTCGCTCCACGTGACGTCGAATAGCCCGTCGTTCCAGTCGAAACTGCAAGAGTTTCAAATGATTATGCAAGTGCAATTAATGCAAGCGATCCTTGTGATGCAGGTCATTTCGGAATAACTATTCCTTTAAAATACAATGGACCCTTGACTTATGAACTCAATTCCTTTGCGAGGGCTGGTCGTAACACAAGTTTATCGTAAGTAAAGAGTATTTACTATAAGAAATCATGGAAATACCCATAATGCATTCCGAACCTCCCAAAGCACCCCTTACCTAACCTTTTCATAATAAAAAGTTGAATAATGTGCATAATTTACCAGAAACACCAATAATTGTGCTCACACACTAATTGTACTTTATGCACACTAATAATAGCCTTTCTACCTCGTCTAACTCTATGAATCGTGACTTACTAATTTAAGTAATAGCTTTAGCAACACTAGCTTCCTTATACAAGTCATTTCTTTGTAAGATTATAGAGATGGTGGATTTCGACATATTAGGGAGATCGGTCACATAAATTCCACTCATATTTCTGCACAATTTCCTTCTTTTCGATTGTGATTGGTTTCTTTATCTTCTCTTCCTTCCTTAGCTTCTTTTCTAGATTTTTTTTGGGGCCAGTTTGATATAGTAATTAGCGAAATTAATTATATAAAATACTGCAGTGACCGAAATGACGCCCACAAACAGGCGTATCTGGGCTCAGACTGACGCTTACAGACGCCTCTCGGGCATCTCGGCTCTTTGTTTACAGCCGCACAGGCGTATGCACGTTTCGTCCTCGACCGGCATTCAGGTCGTAGCTCAGGACTTTGGTCGTAAGTCAAAACTAAAATTTTGGTCGTAACCCGAGTTGTTCGTATGTCAAATCGGTCGTAAATCGAGGATCCACTGTATATAGAAAATGATACAAATAATGGTAAATATTCAGAATATAAGCAAACCTCTCTCGGTGCATATTCACAGGATAGAGTAAGGTTTTTTTACCTCCTAATGAGCTTGATACCACCTTCATCCTGATCCAGCACCAGAAGCGTCCCACATCCTGAACGAACAAGCCCTCGTCAGCTTCATCCTCAGTCTGCAAACATCGCTCAAATCCACCCTGTTCTCTCCGTTAATATGTCAATCAAAACATCAAATACCCCCTATCCTTCATTATGAACGTGTCATCGTAAATTATCAATACAACTGACAATAACCCTGTATTGTGTAGTAATGTTCGGTTATTCTAATTTTACATAAATATATCTGACCGCAGCCAACATATATCATTAAACAACAATTTTTAGCTTTTTAAACTTGTATTTGACCAAGTTATTACTTAGAAATAAATATGGCTGCATCATATCTTTACGTTACTGGAATATTAGTATCCATCAACTCCCAAGAGTTTTCATTGAAACATGCTTAACTGAACCCGCCGGCTATGCACTGGTAAGGGATCAGCAAGCCCAGTTACAGGCGCCGTGCAGTCGATCGGCCCGTAACGTGGCAGCACCTGCGATGCCATAGTGCTGAGACGCGGCACATGCCAGTCTGGAGGGCAGAAACGGGGATATCTCAGCAGCATATCCGTGTCGAGAGGGACACCTGAACGTCTTCATGGCCGCAGCCTTAAAGCAGCCAGACCACCGAAAATATACCGTGCGGCTTATCGATAAGCTACAGCATGTCAGCGATGACCATATATTCTAACTAATCCTCAAGTAAGAAGAAGAAGCGCCACTGGAATGCAGTCCTCCACCATTCGTGTTGTGTCGCGACAAACGGAACTTAAGTGACGCTAGATGACACTCGATTGACCCCACTGCGACACTTAAAATGCCCCCAACTCGTCACTGTAAACGCTGTCCATCGTATCACACTGACACTCTGTCTTCAGCTATATTTCCGTAATCAAGATACGTCAGAGTAACTGCGGAAGGACTACATTTGGGAGCATTTTGATTGGGCCGTGAAAAATAGACCCCTGTGATTGGTCTAGCAGTTTATATGGTGGTTCTTCACTGGTTGAGAAACTGAATTATAAGATAGGCCAAGTTTAATATATACATGTACTGGCAATATATATTCAAAGTTTCACATACCCACATCAACATCCACATTGAAAAAAATTAAAGTTCTATCCATTCTTCGTAAATAACATCTAACTAACAAGAGGAAGCGCGTGTCTCGCCATGTGTTATACAAATGTTCAGCACAAGGTGTCAGTGTTCGGCAAAGCGTGAGACGGCGTTGCTCGGTTCCCCCCTATTGCCAGGGGAACTCTCAGTCAGACCCACGCATTTAGGGTCACCCTTGGGTTTCTACCCTCCCACACAATATGTTTCTGTGCACCTCAGAATTCCATTGCCTCATACAATAACATTAAATAAAAATGTTAATAATAATAATAATAATAATAATAATAATAATAATAATAATAATAATGAACAAGGTCCCTGCCTTTGACTGCCACCGGATCTACATTGCACCTTATCCCCACAGCTCCCCCTACAGGTGGTGGGCCCACAGGAAGATATACCCATATTATTTATTTGGGTTATGCCTGGCCGGGCCTCATGGCCGGAGTCCCACCCCAGCTGGCTCCAGGGCGAGGCCCGGGTCTCCCCAGTCAGGACAGGGTAACATGATCCTTGGTAGAAGTCCTTATGATAGTCTGTTTGAACCGCACTTTATCTGGCCACTCACCTAGGACCAATTTCCAATTTCCTTGCCCCCGAAAACATAGCTCCCAGGATCACGGAGGCACACAAACCCCTCCACCACTGGAAAAGCTTGCCCTCTCCTGGTGGGGGATGAGTTACCGCCTTCGAGTGGAGGAATTAAAGCATCTCAGGGTTTTGTTCACAAGTGAGGGGAAGAAGGGAGATGGAGATCGACAGGCGGATCGGTGCAGTGTCGGCAGTACATGCGGACACTGTACCGATCTGTTTTGTTTGCCAGAAAACAAAGCTCTCAATTGGGTCACAATTCTTTGTGACCCAAAGAATGACTGAAATGAGCTTCCTCCACTGGGTGGCTGGGCTCAGCCTTAGAGATAGGGTGAGGGGCCAGCATCTGTCTAGAATGCCTCCTGGACGTCTCCCTGGGGAGGTGTTGCTGGCATATCCAACCAGGAGGAGGCCCCAGGGCAGACCCAGGACACGCTGGAGAGATTATATCTCTCGACTGGCCGGGGAACACCTTGGTATTCTCCTGGAGGAGCTGGAGGAGGTGGCTGGGGAGAGGAAGGTTTGGGCATCCCTGCTTAGACTGCTACCCCCATGACCCGACCCCGGATAAGTGGAGGAAAATGGATGAATAATAATAATAATAATAATAGCTGGCCCCCCTTCCAGGGTTGTTCCCTGCCTCGTGCCCATTGCTTCCGGGATAGGCTCCGGACCCCCCGCGACCCAGTAGGATAAGAGGGTTGGACAATGGATGGATGGATGGATAATAATAATAATGAAGAAAAAGAAGAAGAAGATGATGATGATGATGATGATAAAGAAGAAAAAGATCATCATATTTGGCCGTTTTTAATAGATGTCCCTTTCTAACTTCTTTTCTCTTTCTTAGTCTGTTTACCTGTCCTTGTAAGCTGTTTATTCACTAAACGGTATTTTAACGGAGTAAACGCCTCTGACACGAGCCTTTAGTGATGTGAACAGCAACAACAATTTAAAAAGTACTTTAGAACACAGTTAAGATTTATTTATTAAAAACGTAAATAAAAACGAAGACAACAAAAATATGGGTATAACGGTGATTAATGCTTACAAAGCACTGTATTATTAATATACTATTAGCTTATTAAGATATTAATTAAGATTGGACAGAAAGTAACATGAAAGGGGAATATATACTTTTTATCAGTATTTGTTGTAACAAGCCATGTAATTTAAAAACAATCCTTTTGTAAGCAGTTACCATTAAAAAATTGTATACATTTCTGGGAAACGTGAAATAAACATTTAAATCTGAAATTAACATTTAATTTTATACATTGTTCTGTCATTTGCACAATTTGCTAGTTAGTCCTAATTATTTGAATGTTTTATTATGCTTTTCCCCCGCAATAATCATTTTGAACAGAAGTCAGAAAATTTTCAGCAACCGAATCACGAAATCCCTTTGAACTTCATGATCAGAGAACTCTTTTACATTTGGGTTTCACCTTTATTATTATTGGGTTAATTAATGTTTCATTGTTCATAATAAGGTGATTATTTGCGTTCGTTGTGTCTATTTCCACGCCATGCACGCCGCGTATTTGATGTTTCCGTGCCCAGCGATCACGTGTAACTGTTTTATGACGGCCACTTCAAAGAGCGGAGCCCGGCGTGAGAACCAGCCGGAGCAGCGCAGATAACCCGCGGATTTATAGCCGAGCGCTGTTCCCATGGTTGTCGGTGGACAGCAGGCGCTGTTTGTCGTAATCCCCATTCACTTGGAAATGCTGATACTTTTCTCTTAAGGAATTTAATGGTGTGACAGTGATTTACTAATGTAAATCTTTCTAACAGACCTCGGGATAAAGAGAGTGGATTAGCCTCGCATAAAGACCCATCTTGCGAGGAGTGACCGGACTTGTTTTGCTTTCATGTGTTGCCTGCTTCGTGAAACTTTCAGTATGTTTCAGGCAAACCAGCGCCTTTGCACACATTTCGGGGCTGCTTGAACAGAGCTGCGTGCTGTTATGCTAAAACTATAGTTCGGAAATTGCCTTTTTTCTGGTTTTGTTTAGAATAAACGCTCGACAATTGATACTCTTTCGAATGCGGGATAATATACAGCAAAAAACATGTTTTAAAAATCACGATATTAAAATATTAGTGTAAATCAAGCATTATTATTTCCAAAATCAGCATGTGTTACTGTTACATTGTAAAAACACCATCCAATTTAATTTTAAGTACTTTTATTGTATCTTACTGCATTGCTTTTAACTCGGCACTAGTACAATAAACTATAGGCTACAATTTAAAAATGAAAATGATAGTTGATCATTTGTTTTGTACCTCGTTTCCTCAAATTGTCTTGTTTTTAAGTTTGACTGTCAACGCAAGCAAGTATCACTCGGTCTTTGTTACTTATAATTTGAATCCCTTCATACCGATGTTAATTACAGCAATTTAAGAGACATTCAGCCCAAAGACCAATACGATGGTACTTTGTTTGCGTTGGGACGTCAGATTAATGGGCTTTAACCGCAGTCTGTGGTATAGGGAGAATCAAAGGAGTCCCGATATCTTTGTAATACATAAATACCAGAAATGTGGCTTGTTTGTTTGCTCTCCATCGCCTAAATGGCCCTCTGGGGGAGTTTGTTTTTCATCAATGGAAAAAGGCTTGCGTGCATTCTTCGTGGCACTCGCCTGTCGATATTCCCCACAACATTCCTCCCGGCATACCATATACCGGCTCTCACCAGGAATATCGTGCCACGAGCAGATGTGGTGGCTGGATTGCTGGGGTTTGCAAGCACGAGCACGGATGCCAAGAATGTCAACATGTTCCCAAAAAAATTGAGAAGTGTTTGTTTTTAATAAGTGACACCTTCAGCGCTTCTGTTTGCATAGAAATGTTTTACAGCTTACAACACAACGTGGGAAATCAAAAAGAAAAAAAAAAAGTGAAACACGTTACATCAGAGTTGTTATAGGTAATACTACTCTTAGTGTTGTTTTTATTTTTCCTGCGTGTTTCATGTACATTCTCCCCTGGAGGGTTTGAGTCCTTCTTCACAAAGCTGAGGAGTGACGTGCATCATCCTAATAAAAGACTTTAAAATCTCTGATAGAACTCCTACTTTACGATTTCAAACATATAATTATTTACAGGCTTTTTAATTAGTTCGTAGATTAAAACACACCATATTTTTCACTTTGTCTGATTATCTCACTGACCTTTGGTTTTGCTTCAAGGTTTTCTTTTCTGATTCATTGAAAACTCAAAACCACTTGTATTGTCTATTGTGTATGTGAGTAAGCGAGTGTGTGTGTGGCCCGGCCCCAGACTACATTGAGGCAATATCCTGCTTACTACAATGCTCATAGTTCTATTTGTTACAGCTAAGAGCAAATCAGAAATCACTGCGCCTTGGGCTGTAGTTCTGTTCTCGAATAGATATCGTCGATATTTTCCTAACTGCGATATAGGCCCATAAACATCAAAGATTTTGGATTACTGGAGAAATATTCTAGGTGTCATGGCTAACTCAGGTGTCTGATGCCACACGTAGCCGACCAATCGAAACAGAATCATAAATATTCACGTTTGTACGGTAAGATCCTAATGGACAAGAGCAGTGTGAGGGCCAGACACCGACTCCTAACAGCTTGGAGAAAACGATAAAAGAGTAAGAAGCTGACAAATAAATCGAAAAGATCCACCGGTTTCCATTTACCAGACCTTAAAAAAAGTAAAATTCAGTCAGACTTAAGGGTTAGTGTTGTTTGTTAGGTTCACATTGGGTGAAATAATGTCTGTACTTTTCCATGCCTCACGTACTACAACCGGGTGGAAGACAAAACAGGTGTCAAAAGTTCACGGACAGGGCGAGATATATCCAATGGAAGAGCGAGGAGATGTTTCAGTCCGAGAGTGTGGAACGACTTCCAGCCATACAAGACATCCACAAAGCGAAGGGTTAAAATGCCCCCACTTCCGTCCCCCAAGGCCGGTAGGGTTTGCTGCTGTTACTGCTGCTACTGCTGCTGCTCCTACTACCGCCCCCGGCACCCGGCTGGGATTCCGACGGGGTGGACGGCGAGGGACTAGCGTCCGAGGAGGCCGCGGACGTAGCCGTCACGCTGGGGCTGAAGATGGGAAATCCTCCGGGGAAGGAGAGCGGGAAGGTCTGGGCGGCGGCGGCGGCGGCGGCGGCGGCCTGCACCGTGGCCGACAGGGACAGGAGGGAGGTGGAGAGCGGGGGCACGCAGGGCGCCACGCTGCCAGCAGATGGCGCCCTGAGGGCCGAGTCCACGGGGGAGAAGGCGGCCGCCAGGAGCGCCGAGCCACGCGTGGGGACGTCGGCGAGCCGGCCGGCCGTGCCCTCGGCAGTGGAGAGTCCGTTTTGCTGGAGGAAGGCTTGCTGTAGGGGATGGAAGGCGGCAGCCCACTGGTGCGGGTGCAGTGCGTGCGGGTGATGTGCCATGGAGGACGTCATGGCGGCGGCCTCCCTCTGGGTGGCGCAAGTGCTGAGGTGGGAAACCAGGCGCATGCGCAGCGGGTCACTGGTGTCCAGGCCCTCCACAGAGCTGAGGTACCGGGCCACTTCCGTCAGACACTCCCTGAACCCGACGCTCATGAAGTCCATCGCGAGGGCGTGGACATCGAAGTAGCCTGCGGACGGGAGACACGGCGGTAAGTGTCTGTAAGTACGGCACTCGCACGCGGCTCGCGGCCCCCCTGAAGGCAGCCGGCGGTCAATGGGAGAGGCACGGCCAGTCAAACGCCGCCTGCCAGACTCCCGCCGCGCCGGAGGTGTAACCTAAACAGGCCACGCTGTGCTGTGCCGTTTGTGTTTGTTTTGTCTCCCCCGCACACCGGTTTTAACACCCTCTGGAAGCCCCAAACAAGCCCTCAATAGGCCGCCCGGTGAATGCGGCCCTCTCCCCTCCCACGGACTCATGAAAGCAAACACAATCCGGGGGTCAAGTGCTTCTTTTGTGCTGGCCGCGCTTTCCCACGAGTTCAATCCTGCCATTAGCATTGATTTCCACTCCTTTAATCTTGTCAAAGGAGCTGCTCGCTCGGATTTCACTACAAAGTATGGCGGAGAATAGCAGTCAATTATCTCCTTACCTTTACCTCCGGAGGCCTGCAGCATCTTCAGGTGATCAACTGTCATCTGCAATATTTCTGCTTTTTCTAGTTTAGCAGATCCCTGAAGGAAAACAAAAAAAAACATGATCTCCTGTATAATCATCTAATATTGCTAATAATAACAATAACACAATAATAACCAAAATACTGCTAATAATCACAACCTGCTTCATCTTATTGTTATTGTTGCAGCAGAAGTTACAACAATTATAATGAAAGTGATACATGATGTTGCCGTCGTGCATCACTGCAAACATACCTGCTTTTCAAATGCGGTTGGAACTAGTCGACGGAGTTCCGATAGACTATTATTAATTCGATCTCTCCGTCTTTTTTCGATTATCTGAAACAAGCGAAGACTGTTAGCATATCAAAACCACATTACAAGCATCATTAACTGATGTATAGTTTCACTAAACATGTGCCATATTCACACATTTACTACTTACTACTACTACTACAAATAATAATAATAATAATAATAATAATAATAATAATAATAATAATAATCACCCCTCGTCGTTTTTTTCGTGCCATGACTTGGGAGGTTGTTGTCGGAGAATTTGATCGAATAACTGAACCGCTGCTGTCACAAAATAATTAAAAACAATATTTGGATTTATTTATTATTATGTAATACTCTATATTATTCTATAGTCAACATTATTTTGTAAAAAAATGACATTTGGGAAATGAAACAAAAGAAAAACTAATAAACTAAAAAAAACTGCAACGATTGATTTATATTTCACAAAAAATTCAAACGATTTCATTTTGCATTTGTGATCACTGCTTGTAATCGCATGCTGTTGTTGTGCATTTGCATGTTAAAATAACACAGATTTCAGTTAAGGATGTACAACAAAGTACCATAAATAACCTGTGAGGATTTAGTTGTACTTTATTGCATTTAGCAACAAATTTTTAAAAAGCAATTTTGCGCCAAGTACGCTTTCCCAGTGTACGCACATCCAGCCGACAACTTCTTAAAACTTTTCAAAAACTTTTTTGCAAATTATGAAATAACACGTGCGCGCGCACCAACAACACATTAACACAATAAAATCATTTACCCTGAATAATTGTTCTCACTGCCCACATCAATGGTTTCATCCATGTCACTGTCAGAGCTGGTCTCCTCACAGGGTCTCTTCATGGTGCTGTCGCCGCTTCGTGTGCGTCCAGGTGACTCGGCGGATCCCTCTGAACTCGTTTCCCACGGACCGCCGGAGCCTGAGTCGCAGTCGCGTCGCCGCCCACGTCCTCCCCGGGAACACCCACATGAGGAAAACACGCCCCGAGCCGCCGATCGGGGGCTTCCAGCCGCACTGCCCTACAGCTTCCTCGGAGGGCTGGGCTCTGCCTACTTTCAGTGCTGGCGTGACACCTCCTCTGCCCCCTATGCTTTCGTGAGAAACGCTGCCAGCCCAGAATGCCAATTTAAATGCCCGAGCCGCAATGATTTGATGAAACCTACAAAAGCTTTGCCTTGGTGGCAAGGAGACTGGCAGCGGCATTAGACCAGGACAGAGTATCTTAACATAAATGAACTGTCCAACTAAATACTTGTTGTGTTTAAAGTTAAGTCAGTTGTTAACTTGTTTCGTATTAAAAAGGGTCCATAACAGACGGCTTTCACAGCCCTGCCAACGAATAGCCACGCAGGCTTACAAGCCGGAACAGGAAACCAGTGGCAGCTATCCCCTAAACCTGCCCCCCCCCCAAAAAAAGAACAAAAACAAGACTAATAAACATTATTATTCGCGAGATACATTTTTTGTCCATTCCGCCAGAAGAGAAAAAGTGGTGATGTGTAATCTGAAAATGAATTGTAGCGGACTATAATGAATAATAAAGTTAATTGCCTTGGACATTAAACTTGTTGGTGTGAGTGAAGCCTGCAGTTTAATTACTTTTTAATTAAAATCATAAACATCCATAAATGATCAGCGTGCATAAAAGTTACACCAATAAAAAAATCTCTAATGGCAATGTCTTTAAACTGATGAAGATATCACAGATAGCCGCATTAGAACACGACTTCTGTGATTTGGGTTGTCCTGGGTGTTGATGGGTGATTAGATCCGTGACCTACAATGCCGCTCAATGAAAATTAAAGTCACGAGTTTCTGCAGGTGCTGCTTGTGGAAACGCAGGAGCCCCATTCAGCTGTTAGCTGAACCACGAGGACCCGCAGGGTCATTTCAAAAGCCTGGAGGAACGCGTGCAAAAGCATCACCTCTTAGAAATAATCCATCCATCCATTATCTATACCGCTTTATCCATCTGGGTCGCGGGGAAGCCGGAGCCAATCCCAGCATCATCGGGCGAGAGGCGGGGTACACCCTGGGCAGGCCGCCAGTCCACCACAGGGCTTAGAAATAATCGCCAACACCCAATCGACAGTTTATATTATATCTACACCCGAGGTTCACGTGAGTCGTGTGACAGGCCCGCACGCGGCCGCAGCTTGTATTGGATGATCAGAACCGACATCATCATATTTCACTGCTTCGTTTTTCCATGTGGAATATGGACTAAATATAAATGAACATATAAACATAGAATTAAGCCAGACCATTGTGACAGAAAATCATTGTGGAGAACTGCGCATAGTCCAAATATTTTCAATGATTGTTTGGTAAAATAGGGCTAATTGGTTTTAATTGTCATGAATTTAATAAAAATGCATTGACTAGACAGCAAAGATGGGCTTGTAAACATGCACACACACACACACACACACACACATGGTATAGTCTGACAGGGGGCTACAAGTCTGCGCGGATTATCTCACTCGTCTTCACTTTCAGTCTCCATAACAGCGAGTTACCACACTCTCTCACCTGCTCACGCACACTCACACGCGAGCAGTCACGCACAATAGCGGGCACGCGCAATCACAGTAACGCACACACACTGATGAACACACACACATGTCCTGATGAATCACCTCCCCGCCTGCTGGATGCTCCAGCTGCAGCCGGCTTCACGGGGTTAAACGGTGAAGACAACGCATTGTTTGGAAGGAGCCCCCCCGCGCCGTCATGCGCCGTGCCCCCGGCGGAGAGCGGCGCAGTCTCCCAGGCAGCCTGCCAGCGTGATGACTTGTTCCCACAGCTCACCGCACCGCCGCTGAAACCCAATCGCCGTGTGAGAGGCGGCCAGGAGCACGGGCGGGGATCCGTACGGCGGGGAGGCGCCCCCTCGCTCTCCTCCCAGCGCGGCCCGCGTCGCCCCCAGCGCCGCCGTCTGTAACCCTACGCCTCACATTGTTTGTGTTTGTTGTACGCTCGCTTGAACCCGCGTGCTGGCGGACCCGAGACGCGCGACCGCGGCTATAAAAAGCCGCGCGGGCTTCTGGTGTCTCGCGCTGCGTTACTTACGGGCTCGCGGAAGACGCGCGTGGTTTCCCCGCAAACTGTTTTTCAAGGAAGATCGAGGACAAGCGCGCGTGCCATTAATAAAACTGCGACCAAAGATTCTCAGCCGCTGAACAATAAACTATGTCGGATGGATCGTTTGAGGCTGCTGTCACATCGATACAATTTGGATTACTGTGAAAATATTTACGTGTGTTTTGAGACCCCTCCCAAAAACATGCAATGCCCCCTCCCCCCCTTTACAGTGGTTCCTGTAGCCTTTGGCCGTTAGCTAAACTGTGTTCTTTTCCTGGCATGGCTCCGCTGAGGCGTTTATTCCAACCAGCTTATCGCCTTCACTCTGCACAAGACCTCCTGGGGCTTCAGCTGGTGACCTTCAGACTAACATCTCCACCACTTTGCCCACCACTGCACTGAGTACTGGAACCAAAATCGTCTGCCAGACCCCGCTGTTCGCTGGCACGTCCCTGCCATTCGGACTGGGGGTTATAATCCAGTTGTCAACACTCACTCATAGCCCAGGACGGCAGAATGGGTTTTCCAGGTGTGCCCCCAACCCCAGACTGAAAAGACGTCTTTAAACTCGTCCGACCTCTGGAGCAGAACCCTCCTCAGGCCTGATGCTCCAGTGGTCAGCATGAAAGAGGTCATGGGGTCGGATCCCCATCTGCCTTTGGCTGACCGCACTCAATTTAATTCTCGTTTCACGGTCAGAGGCTGTTTTGTGTGTAAAGGTGTAAAGCAGCTCATTTCACCTTAGTATGTGTTTATATATAGATTTTTTTTCTTGCCCAAGATTATGAGCTGGGCTGTAATTACTGCCAATTTTCCATCAAAAAGTTTATTATAGTTTAATAAAATATAATTACCATCTACTGGATAAATTGGCTATATAATAAGAAACAACAAAAAATTCAGTTCAGTTTATTTTTATATTGCGCCTTTAATAACAGAGTCTCCGCAAGGTACTCGTAATGGCCGTGCAGTTAAACGTCACTATATCATTTACTGTAGTAAAAAACATCATGGTATACTGATTAAATACACAATTACAAGTACATAATTACAAATGCACAATTACATTTCCCATCAGTCTAAATATGGATTTGAAACATCTCAGAGCAGCGATTCGAAGTGTAAACTTTTCCTCATTCTGTGAATGTGTTTGGTTCCCGCAGTCTCTGCACAGCACGTTCAGTGACTGAAGCTAAGGCTGAAGGTCCGCATTCGCCAGCACGCCTTCGCCATCAGCAGCCACTCGCACGATTGTTCCGGCATGTTGACGACGTTTGGCTGCTTCTGCCGTGGCTCGCGGCGGCCATGCGCTTATCCGGCAAAATGCACAGATGGGAGAAACTGACACCCCCCCCCCCTTCTGCTGTCCTGTCTATTTCCACATTTCATCCTTGAACAACAGTAAACAAGGGGCTCCGATAAAGGCAGAGAGCACAACATGAGAGCGAGAGCCAAGACTCCCCCGGTGGGAGCTCAGAGGGGTGGTTCTTGCCGGACGCGGAGGAGCTGGAGGTGGGAGAGCCTCTGGGAACAGTGTGGCGACGAAGGGGTCTGGCTCTGAAGATCTGTGTGTGTGTGTGTGTGTGTGTGTGCGTGTGTGTGGGCGTGCGTGTCTGCATGCGTGCCCTCCATTCCCAGGCAGGGGAAGGATTCTTGTCATCCCTTGCATAGCTCCCCCGCGCTGGGCTCCGCCCTCCCCCTGGCCCTGTGTGGGCCGATGCAAGGCCAGCCCCGGTGTACCACGGTATCAGCGGTTCCCAAGAATTGCCCGGCCTGGGAAAAGCTTGATGGAGCAGTTCCAAGATCAGCATTACATGCATTATTGTTCTTACCCTCCGCGAGTCGCCGGCACACAATGAAAACAGCAGCGGCTGCCACAGTCTCAGGCCCTTCTCCCTGCACAGGGCACTCTCTCTCGTCAGCCTCTCTCAAGCCACTGTTTTTGTTCATTTCAAAAAAGCATTAAGTTAACTACTTCATGGCTTTGAAGGCCTGCTTCCCTGTGCATGCCACAAAAAAAAGCACTTGTTACGGGGTGGTTGTTGGTTCAAGTTACCGGGTGGTTGTTGGCTCAGATCCCAATTTGAAAACGAACATCACCGTGTTCTTTAAAGCAAGACAGTAAATGTGATCAGTTAAGCATGTCTTTGGAAGCACTTCTGGAAAAGTGTTGCATGGGAAATGATTTTTCTTATCAATATGGAGATCGGGATGCTCTGTTCTTGAACGCCATCTAACTCCATCTAACCTCTAGTTCACATCAAGCTAGCGGCAGTAAGCGAAGTGATCCGTACTCAGTCAGAGAATCGCCGTGTCGGGCGCCGCGGACAAATAAACGGGGGCTGGCGAATTAACGATTTCCGTCTTCCGCCTGCCAACCTGGAACCATTTTCACTATGTAAGGCGAGCTGAAACAACAACCAGCGCTGCACAAACAGGCCGGACCCCCTCTCATTGTTGTGCGACTTGTCGCGGAATAACAGGCCGCTGTTTGTGTTCCCTGGAGTAGGAAGGAGCCGCGGTAGCGACAATGGGCCCCGCCGGCGGGCTGCGCGCCCCCCCACTCCCTGCTACATTATAGCCGCTTTATTGCCGTTTAAGGTCACCCAGAGACAAGCAACTGCATCCTATATCAGGAAGCAGAGCGCCTCTCAGGGGTGAAATACTCGCCCCTGACAAGAGGCCGCAGCCGTGAGTCGGACATCCTGGGCAGTAAGTGCATGTCAGGCGGGCTCCAAGCTTTCGATCCAACAACGCTGGAGAGAATGATCCAGAATAATGGCCCCCTTCCTGCCATTCTCAGCACCGGGCAGTATTTCTGTCAGGGCTCCTGAAAGCCACCCCCCCCCCACCCCCGCCCCCCGTGGGGCCAGCGACGCCATTCTGCGCCAGTGAATGGACCTTAAAGGCCAGACTCGGACCCACGGATGTTTTAGTGGCTCTGTGTCTACAGGTGGCCTGAGTCAGTCCTGGAAAAGAGAGACAGGTCTGTTCCCAGTTTCTCGTGGGGCAATCTTGGCTTGCCGATG